GGTTCTGCCACGGCAGCGAGGTTGGTGCTTCACACGGATTGACGAAAAGGCATACGGCGTCGCCGTCTCGTTCGCCGGTGTGATTGGGAAAGGAAAAAAAAGGAGGCTACGGCAGCTTCAAAGAAAGGGTTCTGCTCAATTACCTTTGGCGGTCCAGATTGTCATCCGGCTGTGTCTGACGGTGGCGGTCACGGCAGCAACCTTGTTGTTGCACACGACTGAATTGACCCGGCAGCAACCTTGTTGTTGCACACGAATTGACGCGTGTGGTTCCGGGGGAAAAAATCGAGGGTACGACCAGCGTTCGGCCTGCCAGGCAGGAAACTCGACATTTGTCTGAGCACGCCAAAACTCTACTTGCCAGCCAGGAAAGCGGGCTTTGTCTAAACTGCGCCACGTGCAGGCTGCGAACCTGCTCCACCTGCCAGGATACGAGGCTGTGTCTGAAAACAGATTTGCAGGAAAAAGTAAGGCATCAGAGTACAAACACGCCAGCTTTCTGCCAGATCACAAACATGTCAGCTGTCCGCCTGCCAGCCAGAAAATTGGGCTTTGTCTAAACATGCCAAAACTCCACCTGCCAGGAAATCGGGCTATGTCTAAACATGCCAAAAGTGTACGTGGTTACGTTAGACTGAACCGGTTGAGTAGGACGCCAAAGGACTGGTCTTGTTTTCCGCGCTTGCCTGACGTGTCTGGTCGAAGCAACTTTGGCCGTCGCCTATGTCTGGGTTGGCTAGCATGGGTTTTGTGGAGGGCGCAAGACGATGGCTGGAACCAATGATGCTTCATATTTGTGTGGCTTTTTGATGGCGGGCTCAGTGTAAGTGGACTGATCTTCGGGGCCATGCTTCTTTTTTTACACACAGGGCATAAGGTACCCCCAGCGGCATTCCCAGAAGGCAAACGTCTGTGGCAATTGCTGCAGGTTTGGTCCCCGGCGCACACAGCGCATATCCACTGGGGCATTTTTTTGCCATGGTATTTGGAAGAGTTTGGTGGGCGAGGCACTTTGCCACAGATCGCACACGGTGGATAGGCACATTTTTCGCAAAGAGTACCAGGTCGAGCAAACGTGTGGCAATGGCTTGGTAGAAGATTGCTGCCACACTAGGTGTAGCGGAGCTATTCGCAAAAAACTCTAGGGAAGACCCAAAGGCCTTCGTTTGCGTCGTCAAGACTAAACGTCTTCGTTTGCGTCGCAAAACGCCATCGTCGTGAACACACGACATCGCTATTGTCGTTTGCGTCAAACGATGTCCATAGTAGCACGTTGGCTTCTCTAAGGTGGAATAGTGCAGCAAGGAACGGAAAGGTTTGCAAGTCACGCCGTGAAAGCACCAACCTGTGCAGAGCCAGAAACGGCCCTTCCATGATGGCCAAAGATAGAAGTCCAGACATCCACTTTTGAGCTCCGGGCAATATGCATTTCAAAAACCTCGGTTGCCATGCAGTCGCCACGGTCTCCTTGCAGGAACCGTCTCCCCCCGCCCCCGCGACTTGTCCATGCATCGACGGGCTGCGCCGCGTCATTGCACTGCCATGAGCTAGACTACGACCGCATCAAAGCTACAGAATATATAAACAATATCCAACTCGTGTCTGAAGCTCACCATTCCAGACTGCAGTAACCTCAAAGCCAAGGAAAGAAAAAAGCGCTACTTTAACCGTACGTCCATGTCCGATCTAGGTCTCATCATCATTCCAAACCCCCTCTAAAAAACAGAACGTCAGAAGAAGGCAAAGTCAAAAAGACGCAGCTGTCGATCTCGTGCCTGTGCAGAGGGAAGCAGAAAGAGGAAAAGGTTTGCGATGCCGTTTTGGCATGCTTTCATGGCACGTCATGTGCTCTGACTCCTGTGCCAACGTGCTTCGACGATACGCACTCCCCCCGGCCCTTTTCAGGACCGCGCCCTTCGCCCCCCAGCCCCCTGACTTGACGCCCCTGGCTGGAAGGTATTCGCCCAGCGGCGAAGGGCCTTCGGCCGGGTTTTATTTATTGGGAAGGACCTGCAGTGAAAGCTTAATATGTAGAAACGAGGAGCAAGAACGCTACTAACAGGCGACGTTAGGCATTCTTGCTCGTCGCGGCTCGCTTCTACATTGGTAGCGTTCTCCTCCGCGCAGCTTGGTCAGCGCCGAACGTCGCTTTCTGAGGGCAATCAAAACTAGTCTCTACTCGACATGCCCAAAGCTATCTTGCTACCTCACTCCCAAGGCTCCCGGCAATCTGTCCCGCCAAGCCTTTCCACCTTTTAATTCTACACAAAAAACCAAAATATTGTCTTGACAGGGTGCCTAAGAGCAGTTTCGAAACCCAATAAAAAAGCTAGCGAAGGCCTGCCGCAGAGGGTTTGGAGCCGAGGGAAGGCCTGCCACAGAGAGTTTGGGGCCGAGACCTGCTGAGCAACTGGCCGAAACCAAGTGGCCGAAAGAGTTGAGCCACCGTTTCACCCTGCGGTGTCAGGCGCCGCCCCGCCTAGGCATCAGCTAGGCAGGGTTCGGCGGCGGATATTTCTTTGTTTCTAATAGCTACTTGCTCCTAGTAGTAAGGCCAGGAGCCCCTAGTAGCGATGCCGCTGCCCTTTGCTCCTAGTAGCGAAAGGGGCTTTTTTGCTAGGAGCTTGGAAAGTCTGTCTGCTGCTCCCACGGTCTCTTGGACGAACGCGGCGCTGCATTGTTCATCGGTAGCGACGGTTGTGCGCGTTCCCCGGTGACGCTTGAGGCTGAGGAGCCTGGGCCCGAAATGAGTTTTTCAGTTTGCAATCGTTTCTGCTTTGCAACATTTTGCAACAACCGGCTTTGCCACATGTTGCCACGTGCAGTTTCCCATGTTGAGTCATTTTGCTGGCGGTGGCGCAACCCCAGAGGCAGATTGAGTACAACGCAGATTGTTGTGGACCAAGATCACGGAGTTTGGTTTCAGGTTTAAGTTTGGCCTTTGCCTGCCTAGATGCCACTAGTTTTAATTGTAACTAAAACTTAATCTTACTTAAATTCTATTCTAATTTTGTTCCTAGTAGTAAAGCCAGGAGTTCCTAGTAGCGTCCTTGCTCCTAGTAGCGATGCCAGGAACCCCCTTAGTAGCTTTATTGCCCCTAGTAGCGTTTGAGTTTGGCCTTTGCCTAGATGCCGCCGCAATCTTCCACTTATTTGGTACTTTCCAGGCAGGTGCGCGTGACATCTCAATCAATTCTACGCGGAGTGCACGCATGTTGCACACATGAGCCATGTCACCCAGGAACGGCTCAAGAGCAACCCATGGGAGCTTGACGCGGCGGGCAGTATGGGACGTGGTACAGCCTCCAACCTACGAGATGGCCTCCAAGCGATGGCCTCCAACGGCCTCCAACCTAAGAGAAAGGTGTTTTGTTTCACATTTTACGTGAAGCGCTAGAGACGTCAAGCGCTGTGCCATTGTGACGACGTTCGCATGTGCGTCGAGGCGGCCACTCCAGAGGGTCCGGGTGCTTCGATGTGGGACTTCTACTGCACGCATTGGCAGCAGCCAGAGGGCCCAGAGAACGGTGCCAGCCAATATGGGCAGAATAAAAGATGTGAGAGAGTTGTTTTATTCTTTTGTTTGTTTTCCATTGTTTCTTTATGTTTCTTTCTTGTCCTTTCTTACTTTCTGCTCTTTTGTGAAACTTCAGGCTCCCCAGACTGCTTTCGGATGTGGAGCTTCGAGGAGTGCCGGTGAACGAAAAGAGGCAGACAAGAAAAAACTGTTTGAAACAACAGTTTGCGTGAAACGTGTAAAGCAGCCCTTTAAACAAATTGAAACATGTGTTTGTTTGTCCCCAACTTTGCGGACTGAGGCTGGCAGAGGTGATTGAAAAGTCCGAACATTTGTTGCAGAAGTGCCAAGAAGACTTTTGTCACTGGGCTGCTGTGTGGAGACCCAGAGGTTGGAGAATCCATGAGAACGAAGCTCTGATTTGTGACCTTTTTTCAGGCATGGGTTGAAAGAAGATGCGGAGCCAAGGCAGGTCTTGTCGGCAAGTCAAATTTAGCCAAGAGTCCTAGCAACAAGTGCAGTGTTTCAGTGCATAAATGTTTGCCAGAAATGCTGTCGAAGCCTAATCTATTGGTCGGATTCTTTGGAGATTGAAGTGCATGTGTTGTGAGATTGGGGGCGCGTGCGATTTGTGAAGCATTTGCGCTTGCGTTCATACATGCACAGTCATTACGACATGCACTATCCCTTTTGTTCGAGAAAAGAGCGCATGGTAGCGGAGCAGTGATCAGGACAACCTCCTGAGACAAGCTCTTTTTGACAGGGGCTCCACCGGCCGTTTGAGCCATTGTTGAAATCCTTTCAAGACTTCGTCCTGTTGAGGGAGGAGGTTGAGCCCTTTGAAGATGTCCAGAAGCTTGAAGTTAGGGCCTTCCCACACAGGTGAACTTGCGCGCAGGGCCTGACCAAAGTGGCAGTCAACAATTTATGACAAGCCCAGTGTGTTCGACTACAAGAATCAGGAAGAAGAGATCAAGGCCTTTAGAGAGTGGTCCTGGGCCTTTGAGATGAGTTAGATTTTAAAGATGAAGGGCTTTTCCGAGATTTGAGGGAAGGGGCACATGAAAGTCGAACGATCCCTTAGACATGGGTCTGACAGACGCTGGAGAGAAGTCTAGGGCTATAAAGCTCTATATGGGCTTTTGGCTTCCTTGACGCTTGGTCGAGCATTGCAGACCGTGAAAGCAGTTGATCCTTCAAATGGAGTTGATGCTTGGAGATAATTGAAAATCACTGAAGCCAACGTCCAATGCTCGAGGACGAGCTTTGTTGGGAGCAGCAACAACTTTGCAATGAACAGTGCGTTGCAGCGACAGTTGCTTAGGCTTGGCAAGGTGTTTGAGGAGACGGTCAAAGCAGGCGCTACAATCCAAGAAGAAAGACCGGCTATCCATCTGAAGCATGTTGGAGGTCAGCTGAAGTCGTGTTTGAACACTACAATACGCCGCTTTGGGGGAACATGTCTTGCAATAGACATGACTCAGCAGAATCAGAAGTGGGGTGCTTTGACCATAGCAGCAGTGGGGACTATCAAGGTCCCATGCCAATGGAGGTTGACCGTGTTCAAGACAAAGACGGGAAAGAATGACTCGCAAGGAAATTGGCAAGAAAGACGCAGGAGATCAGCAGCAGGGCAAAGGTGGCGATTCAGCGGGCGGGGCAAAGGGGTTGGTGTTTGCTACACTTGCTTCTACACTTGCCAATGATTGTTGGGAAATCACACTGCGAGGCGGGGTGGAGCTGATGCAAAAGCTCTTGTGGGGGCGCAAACAGTTGTAACAGTTGGGGCGGATCGTTCTGCGGCTGGAAACGAGCCTTTTTGGCTGGGAGGTCATTCCTTTGCTTGCTTGCTTGCTTGCTTGCTTGCTTGCTTGCTTGCTTGCACTGCAATTGGGTCCTGGAATCTTGCACTTGGAGATACTAAAGCGTTCCCTCCATTGTCCAGATCTGGTGGAGCAGCAGCTTTCCCTCTGCCGAGAAAAAGGATATTAGAGTTGTCCCGACAAACGCTTATCATCGCAAGCCCACGCCCAGACCTTGTGCCCGAACATGCCCGGTCCACGGCCTTCCAGGTCGGAATGCTCTCTTCCTCGGCGCTTTTCTATCTTTTTAGTGACGAGAGGCTAGAGCTCAATTCGCTCTACGAGGAAAAAAAAGGGTCTAAAGTCGATTTTTGCAGGCTTAAGAGGGTATGGGGGTGGTGTTCCAAGAGGTTGATGATATTTACATTTCTTGTAATCTTCAACCTTATACAGTTTTTTCATGTCACTACTTTTCCTTGAAGCAAATCTTGCGCCACTTGAGTGGCATGTTGTTGAGGCGCTAGGCGCTAGCCTCGACAACTCCAGAACCTGTTAAGGGCTTCTCACAAAGGGCAGCCACCAATGGAGACCAATGGATATTTTCCAGATTGTTGTAGGACGTGCGGGGGGTGCAGTGCTATCGACGAGCCCTTGTAACTATGCCCCCTCCAGTTCCCTGATTTAGATGGTCACTTTCCAGCTACGCCAAACTGGTGTTTCTACCTGTGCAATCGTGAGGGATAGATGCTTGTCACAGAATGAGAGCCTCGCAGAGCACCAGGTATGTTTGGATGCCATGAACTTGAATTCGTTGGAGCATTTGCGCCAGTCCCTTGGCAGCACTCGTGCTTAGCCATTCGGAATTTTTGTATTGTTGGTCTTGGGTGTTTGGCAGCTTGCAGGTTGACCAGCGCCGGGCTGGTTTTGGCAAAACGTGACCATCCATCAACGATCCACACGGTCATACTGTTCGCGTGAAAAAAACGCAGCTCATGCAACGAAGCGAAGTCTAACGGAAACCATGGCCCAGGCCCGGAATGAGGTTGTCTGGTTTCGCTCGCTAACAAAGAACAACACTTTAGTGCGCTCAGTGCTCAGGCGCACTTTTCACTTGCGGCGTGCGCCATGCAAAGTCGTTTGCAACCAGGCCAGAAAAAGTCAGCAGCTGCTGATTGCGTGTTTGGGTGCCTACGCAGTAGCCGTAGCGGCCGATCCAGCAAAACATGGAACACTGCTTGCAATATCGCAAAAAAAACGAGCAAAGGCTTGTGGTTTCACATGGTTTCACTCTGGTCATTGGTCACAGTCTTTGCGCGTGCTGTTTGCGGCGCTTGCTGTTTTGCGTTCCAGCCACAGTGACGTCTTGCACTGCGCATCATGAGCGGCTTCTCAGCATCGCGCGTAGCCACGTGGTTCGTCGAGGTTTTTGTGACTCATTTGGAGCCTTCTTTTTCCCCAGATAGCAAAGCTACTTCAAATAAGTTGCCCGTGCGCGCTTTCGAGACAGGTTGCCGGTGCTGTTGCTGAGTGCCGGTGCTGGTGCTGTGAGCTGGCTGCGCACGTGGTGGAGACAGGTTGCTGGTGCTAGGTGCCGGGCGCCGGTGCGCCGGTGCTGGCGCTGGTGCTGGTGCTATGAGGTGCTGGGTGCCTGGTGGTGGTGGTGCTGTGCGCTGGCTGTGCCGGGTGCTGGTGCTGGTGTTGTGACTCACAACACCGGCAGCGGCGCCAGCGCCCGACCAGCGCCGCCGCCCGTTTGAAACGCGCGCTCAGCCAGCTCACAGCAAAACCAGCGCCGACACCATTTCGAAAGCGCGCGCAGCCAGCTCATTCTTATTTGCAGCAAGAACCCCATATCTTGCGCGCAAGCAGTATCCAGCGCCACTATTGACTTTGTAGCATTCCTGAAGCAACGTTCTGCAGAACGATAAGGTCGTATGATCTTGCGCGTATAAGTTTACGCGCGCAAAAGTATGCGCACAAACGGCAAAGCCCGCAGGCTTCACTCGCCCAAGGCCAAGCAGTATCCAGCACGACTATTGTGTGTGTAGCATGCTAAAAAGAAACATGCTGAAACAAGCATAGAACATTATACGTACACAAGTATGCGCGCGCACAGTACAGCCCTTGACAGCTGTGGCCAAAACAGAACTTGAAGAGTGTAAATACACCACAGCGCTAATAGACAAAGAACGCTCAAGCGACAACACCGTATGATGCTGCGTGCATATGGCTGTGCGCGTGGTGGAGACAGGTTGCTGGCGCTGGTGCCGGTGCTGTTGCTGGGCGCTGGGCGCCGTTGCTGGTGCTGGGCGCCAGGCGCCGGCGCGGGCGCTGGTGCTGTGAGCTCACGTGGTGGAGACAGGCTGGTGGCGCTGGTGGCGGGCGGCGGTGCTGGTGCTTGGTGCCGGCCCTGATGCTGGTGGTGTAGCTTGCGTATGTGAAGGGGTCTATTTTTGGATCTTTTTCCAAGATGGCGAAGCTGTGGGGTTCTTACTTCACATAGCAATGAGCTGCCTGCGCGCGCTTTCGAGACAGAGACACGGTGCCGGTACTGGGTGCTGGCAGTGCGCGTGGTAGGGACAGCGGGCGCCGGTGCCGGTCGTGGAGACAGTGTGTGGGCGCCGGGCGCTGGTGCTGGGCGCTGGGTATTCCGGTATACCGGCGCTGGGTGCTGGCGCTGGGCGCCGTGAGCTGCCATGCCGGTGCTCGGTGCTGGTGTCCGCTTCTGACAGTGAAGTGATAACAACCGCCGCTTCTGACAGTGAAGGGTCACAAACCGCCGCTTGCAGCAGTGAAGGACGACCAAGCGCCGCTTCTGACAATGAAGTGCCAGCAGTCATGGGCCGCATGAACTTACGCACGCAACATCATACGGTGTTGTCGCTTGAGCGTTCTTTGTCTATTAGCGCTGTGGTGTATTTACACTCTTCAAGTTCTGTTTTGGCCACAGCTGTCAAGGGCTGTACTGTGTGCGCGCATACTTGTGTACGTATAATGTTCTATGCTTGTTTCAGCATGTTTCTTTTTAGCATGCTACACACACAATAGTCGTGCTGGATACTGCTTGGCCTTGGGCGAGTGAAGCCTGCGGGCTTTGCCGTTTGTTCGCATACTTTTGCGCGCATAAACTTATACGCGCAAGATCATACGGCCTTATCGTTCTGCAGAACGTTGCTTCAGGAATGCTACTGCTTGGCCTTGGGCCAATGACACTTACGGGCTTTGCTGTTTGCGCATATTTTTGCGCGCATAAACTTATATCAACTCTTCGAGAAGGCGGTGGAGAGAGAAAGATAATGCGTTGTTATTCCCCAAATAGGGATAGCGATGGGGTTCTTACTGCAAATAAGAATGAGCTGGCTGCGCTTTCGAAAGAGTGTCGGTGCTGGTGCTGGTGTTGTGGTCCTGGGTGCTGGTGCTGTGCCGTAAGCTGGCTGTGCAGGCTGCGTACATTCTTGTTCCAGCCAGTCGCATGTCAACAAGTCGTGGGATTCTGCCTAGCTATCTGGGTCTATGCTGGTGTAATTTGCTTAAACATAACTTAGAAGAACCAAGGCTCAACAAGTGTTGCCTGCGGCTTGCCAGTTTGCCAAGTTGGTGCTTGGAAGCTGGCTTGCGTGACTTGTGCAACGCATTGCAACGCAATATCTTGTGGACGAATCCGGCGGAACGCAGTTGCGCACGGTGTGCGCATCTGCAGTTACTTTCAACAAAAGAGCGTGGTGTGACATTGTTGCTGGAGCGTTGCCTCAGACAGTACACCAGAAACACCTTGCAGCAAGCTAATGAATTTGCATCGACTAGTTGTAATTATGTTATATTGATGCAGCGCAATGTCTCAGACTCAGAACCAATTTAGACTCCACCGATGTCCACGTATTGCTTTTGCCGAGGCTCCTCTTTGAACCAGTTGGCTCCATGAAGGATGACACAAATAGTTAGCAACATCTATTCCGGAAAAAGAGACCCAAAAAGGAATCCAAGGAAAGGAAAGATTCAAATTTCAATTCCGCCAGTGAACCCCACGCTTTTCGAGCCAGGAGTTTGACGGTCTTCCCTTGCGGATCCAGCAGGAGAAACCATTGGCCACGGGAGAAAGCACGGATTGGGTTGCTGCAGTTGCACTAATAATGTAAAAGAGTGCGTTTAAATTGTGGGCCATGAAAGCACAATAGGCATGTTGTCCTTTGTGTGTCCACGGCCCGTGCGTTTTGGCGCGCGAAACGCTGGCCCCGGGACGGTGCTTGACGGCAAACGCTGGCCCCGGGACGGCCGAAGAGCCTTTGCCTTTCGATGGCAAAGATGCTTGTCAGTAGGACGCCGCCTCACTTGCTAATAATTTCGCAGACGGTGCGCGAAGCTTTAGTGCTTTGCCTGATGTCGAGCCGAACAAAAACGGCAGATTTTCCTGTAAGCAGAAGTCTTCACCTTGGCCAAATGCAAGTCCGAACCGAACAGAGGTTGTAAGCATCAGACCCGGCGATGTGGGTCAGAGAGGAGCGTGCTTCAGATCACATGTGACTTGGATGTTGAGAGCAATAGGAAAGCAGGAAGTCTTGACACTGAACGCGTGCGATAGTTCGTGTGCTGTTCATTAAGCCGGATAAAGGCACCCGCCAAAGGATTTGGGCGCAGCCCAAGCTTTCGTTTCCGAGGTTTAAAGTAACCGAGAACAATTCTTCATGGCAGATGAAATAGGTCAAAGGAAACCATAACCAGATTTCGATACTAAAGAGTAGCCTTGCACATTGCCCTTCGTAAAAAGTTTCGCAGCCTCTCTTGAAACATGTTGATGAACTCCAGCCCGCAAGGTAAGATGCACAAAGGTGCAATAGTTGAGTAGACAAACCTTTTTGTTGGGGCTACAACACCATCTGGGAGTAGACAGGAGCAACGGAGAACCCACAACAATTACAATATTTGAGTTCTGCCCGTGAACGTTTTGTTTGCTTAAAGATTTTGAGTACCAAGTCTATAGGATAGGTGCAGAGGTATGAAAAGACAATTCAATCAAGAACGTTTGCGATTTTTGCCGCAACATCTTGCCCCTCGCAATCCGCCGAATTCTTGGTTTCTGCTTCCTTTGTAGCTGAAAGGAACCCTGGATACCTTTGGATCGAAGCGACTTGATTTACAAGAAGAAACCCGAGTTGCTCGGAAAAATCGTGAAACGATGTGCAACTCAATCTCGTTGTGGCATGGTCCTTGTGGGGTTTCGGTCCCGGAGATTGTGGCCCTTCACGCGGACTCAAGGCTTGAGCTTCTGTGCCGGGAGAAGGGCTGCAAGGCGCTGAAGTCTGACATGTCGACATGCCTTCAGAACAACCATAATTAAATTAATAGTAGTAGCTTCTTGTTACTAGTAGTAAGGCACTTGTTACTAGTAGCGATGCACTTGTTCCTAGTAGCGAACCTTGTTACTACTAGTAAGGCACCTGTTACTACTAATCTCGCCATCTCGTTCCTTCGTTCGCGCACTCTGTGGCAGGTCACTGGAAAGAAAATGGAACTGATTGCTCGGCTGAGTGGCCCTGAGGCGAACGCAATCATCACGTGAATATTTATTTTTTCTTTTTTCGAGTACTTCCTAGTGGCTTATTGTTCCTCATAGCTTCTTGTTACTACTAGTAAGGCACTTGCTACTAGTAGCGATGCACTTGTTCCTAGTAGCAATAAAAATAGTATATTTTTTTACAACACTCCCAGAAACTTTCGTTCTCGAGTCCAAACTCACCCCGTCAAATTCTTTTCAGGATCCGCGAGTCTTGAAGGCAGGGAAAGACAACAGCACGGTTCGATATTCTCCAAACGCACAGTCGAACTGTGCAGTTGTCCTGTTTTTTGTTTCTTTGTGTTTCTTTTCGCATACTGTTTTTTTTTCTCTCTCTCTCTCTATCCACTCTTCAGGTACAAAAGCGAAAGATCCAAATTCCAGGTCTTGGCATGCCACATACCAGGAAAACTCCACAGGGTCTTCCTCAAGTCTCTCAGAATTAGTTCGAGCTGGATGCAGCGTTTTGTTTTTATTCTTATTTTAAATCTTTACGATAGATAAAACAGTTTTTTTTATGTTCAGATCACAAGGTCACCGTTACTGCTGTTGAAGAGCTTGCGAAAAAAGTGAAAGAAGGGGAGCCGACGGCTCAAAAAACTCTGGACGCCTTTCTAAGATGGAAAGAGACCAACTTGGAACTCCGTTTTCTACGACCTTTGCAAACTGCTTCTCAAGTCTTGAATGATGGCCGGATACATTCAGAGCTGAACTTGAATACGATGACTGGTCGTTTATCAACCAGAAATCCAAATCTACAAGGTGAGCCTACGGCTTCGCCAAATGATGTGCGAGCTTTGATCTCTGCACAGCCGGGAAGACGTTTGCTGATAGCTGATTATGGGCAGCTGGAGCTTCGACTGGTTGCCCATTTGGCGAACTGCCAGCCAATGATTGACATCCTGAAGTCTGGGGGAGACATCCACTCCCAAACTGCATACAAGATGTTTGAGGATGTACACCAGGCTGTAGACAGAGGCCATGTGCGGCTTGATGAGCAGGTTGTGGAGTCGGCGGGGACCAAAGATGCTTCAAAAGAGGTGGAAGCCGTTCCAACGGTGAAGGAGCACTTTGTTGAGCTTCGAAAGAAAGCGAAGACACTGAACTTTTCATTGCTCTACGGGAAAACGGCTTTCTCTTTGGCAGAAGAGTGGAATGTGACCGAGAAGGAAGCGCAGGTAGTCATTGACAGCTGGTTCGATGCATTCCCTGAAGTCCATCAATGGCTCAAGAAAGCACAGGAGGAGGTCAGAGGAGGTGGCCAAGACACAGGCGCCAAAGGTCTCTTTGTGAGTTCTTCCACTTGTTTACGTAAATATGTGATTTTGCACGATTAGCTCCCAGTAGCGATGCTCTTTGTTCCTAGTAACGTTCTTGTTACCAGTAGTAAGAGTGCTACTAGTAGAAATGCCCTTTGCTCCTAGTAGCTTCTTGCTCCTAATAGAAAGGCCAGGAGCCCCTAGAAGCGTCCTTGTTGTACAGACAACTTCGCAGAATCACCTATTTACGGCCCACAGGGCTGATCGGGATGCGCGACCGCTGGATTCACCAAACCACTTACATTGCATCGTTAGCAGCTACCGTAGTTTACCAACAGTTACCTTGCAAACTCCAGATGTCCTTTATAGAATCAAGGTAATTACTTGGGATCCTAAAAGAACTCTGATTCTATTTCAAGATTGGTTGAACATTAAAAGGTCACCCTATTTGGACAGATGGGGTAATTGAATTTGTAGTGACTGAATTTTCTTTTTTAGGAAGGCGCTTGATTTTGTAAAAATCAATATGTTGCTGTGGATGAGATATGGTCATGTGAAGATGGGGTGGTTGATTTTATGTACAATTCAGGGTGGTGGGGGTGTTGGTTCTACGCTCTATGCAAATGCACGGGTGTCTTTAGATCTACCAGCTTCTTGTTACTACTAGTAAGGCACTTGTTACTACTAGCGATGCACCTGTTACTACTAACTCCACCTCCTTTTTAAACAATCAACACTTGATTTTGCAACCCTAGCCTGACATGATTCTAATCCACCGTGCGCGCGATCCGGGGTCCGGTGCACATGGGCGATGTCGGGCTGGGACGACCAGCCCTCGCAGATGCTTAGAGTAACGTGCTGTTGGAGGCTTCATCTGCTTCACTAGCTGCCACCTCACACTGGATGCGTCGGGGATCGAATGTTGCCCTTGATCACTGTTCCCTTGAGGGGTGGGGGCTTGCTTTTGTAGAGCTTTTATGCTCGGTGAGGCTGAGGTTATTGATTTTTTGCCTATAAAATCAATACCCCTGGGGTACCACTTCTATTAAGGGGGATATGTTGAGGTTCCAAGACCGAGGGCCTCTATAGCGACAACTAACAATTCTTCTTCTTCTTCTTCCTCTTCCTCTTCCTCTTCCTCCTCACCTTTGTTGCGGACATGATGAACATTATTTTCCGTTGCATAGTCGGAATGAAGTACTTATGGCAAGTACTTATTTTCCCAGAGATGCTAGCGTCAGGGAACGAGGACATGCTGGAAGTCCTTATGTACCTTGCTGCACGGGCTCGAGCGGGGCCGCAGAATACCTTGCAGAGCGGTGCAGATGTGAGAGACATGAGTCTCTTTGTTCGCGAATGGATAAACGAGATACGTGATACCGGGATCGCAACACCGTGATGCACATGGTGCACCCGGGCTGGGTTTTGGGGGATTGACGATTGACCCACCGGGCAAGATGCTCAGATGGCTGCCAGCAATGTTCGACAAACGAAAGGAGCAAAGCGCCCCAAAGAGTTCAACAATTGAGGCGCACGACGAAACTGAAGGAGCAAACTGAAGTAAAGTGGCACTGTCGGGCGATGCCCACATCAGTTTGAGGGAGGGTGGACCCTCAACTTGCGAACGATGCAAGATTCTTCGTCTTGCTCCGGCTCTCAGAGAGAGGGCAAAAGAAGTATCTATAACCACATTTTTCCAGCCCTTTAGTTATGTCCTTTTTACACTTTGCAATCGTTGAATCATGTTGAATCTATTTTTCAAGGGGTCGAAAAATGGAGTGACTATGTATCCCTGTGCGAATTTCCTCTCAAAGATCAGACAACCCGGGTTGTCTTAAAACGAAAACGGATGACAACATACAGTGCCAGTCTACAACTGGAACCTGGGGGTTCCCATTTTCTATAAGAGCAAGAGGTGATTGATTTATTAGAGACTTTGGTTGTCGAGCAATACCTCGAGATTTGGTGCTGATTGTTTAGAGAAAAGAGTCTTTGCAAAGCCAGATTTGCAAATCCAAGCACGGGCTCAACCCACAGATGCAGAGACCATACCACGATCATCTATAGATGATATCAGGACATATGTCTTCAATTTTAAAGGCCTTTTGGCCTTTTCCTTCAAAGTCTCCAATTCTTTAGAGGCATTCTGGCTATTGATTCTTTAGAGAATGTCCTTGACTTTTTAGTTCCACTTCTGGACCCTGAACCTGGGGGTTCCTAAAGGATTGATAGTCCGGGTGTGAGTGCGAATTCGAAGGGGGATGACCACGTACAAGAATTTTTACAGGTGATGCATACGACGCAATGAAAAACAGTGACCCAGACTGTCGAAAGGACCCACTCGTCTCCCACACCTCATGACGCCGCACTTTTGTTCCCAAACGAACATGTTCCGCCCTAGCTTAAGCCGTATCATGCCCCTCGGCACCTTCGGTGTGGGCGGATTTTCTTTATTTTGTTTCTTTCGCTTTTGGTATCTGGTTGCTTGGTTTAGCTTGGACGTTCTGCTTTGTATTCCGTCGGCTCCCACACGCAGATGTCACCAATTACTCAGCCAAAAGCAGAGCGCCCCTGTTTTGCTTTCAAGGTCCTATTTCGGTGTCGATAAGAGTAAAACTCAGAAAAGGGTCTGGTGGACGAGGTTGCTTGTGCATTAGCAGGAGGCAAAAAGTTAGACCATGAAGGTCTGATACAAAGGCAAACCATTTCCACCGGTCTGGTGGCCTGAAACTCAAACCCTCTGCCACACCGTCGTGTGGTGTGTGTGTGTGTGGTGTAAGGTATTTGAGCAAACAGTGACAAGTCCAAGACAAGTCTTTCCGCGCAGTTGCGGCTTGCCCAAAGCAGATGCGGGAAAATAACAGCAGGCTGCACAGCGTGTATACAACGCTAAAAAGATCAAGGGCACCTTGCCGACCATGCATTAGCGCCTTCGGGATAGATAGCCGACATGAACACCTTAAATGAGTTTGTGGAGTGGCTCCGTACGGAGGGGGCGGTTGGTTGCCGGGATTTGCAATGCCAATGAAACCCCGGGCTGTCAATCTTTGCCCAGCAGAAACACCGCGCGGCTGCGTGGAGGAGACATCATGCCAACATGTCAAAGTGGAAACGCCGTAAGATAAGCAATCAATGCGTGCAATGCCTACGTCTACCTCAAGTGAGTTGTTGAAGCAACTTAGGATTCGCAACCCCACCATATACAAAGGCCCGCAACCAATGTGGCTGATGACTTGTGCGGTTAGTATATTTGTGCCGGTTGGTTGAGAAGCAGTAGTGAATTGTGGGTGTTTTTGGTTGAGACATGTCGTATTGATGATTCCCCTTTGTGGTTTGGTAAAACAATGGAGTCCGGGGGCACTGTCAAAAGCCATGTTCAAGAAATCAGTCATTGACCTGCCAAGCTGTTGAAGCTGCTGTTACGGGAAGGAACAGCAAGCAGAGCAACATATGTGCCGATTTGAACTGAGAGACGAAGACTGAACATACTAGTAAGGCACTTGTTACTAGTAGCTTCTTGTTATGTTTTAGCTTTGCTAGGCAGCGAGGCCAAGACTTTGGCAACGCTCCTCGGGCGACGTCGTGCTTTGCGCGGTAAGCGGCCAAAGGCGCTACGTGTGGCAGGCAATACTCCTGTCCAAGGCTGGCAACGCGACTGCGACGACTGCTACGTGTTTCATTGTGTTTCACTATTTCCCCACGTGTTATTTTCCCATTCGCTTTTGGTGCGGGGTTCTTGTGTTTGGTTCTGAAAGGTTCACTGTTTGCTGTCGATGCATGTCCACACGTTGCACTGATGCCCGGTGTTTTTTACATGTAAAAAAACATGCTTTGCGTAAACGCGGCATGTCGCTGAGGTCTGTCTTACAAAAGTGTCCCACACGGGTGTCCAGCAAGAGTGTCCCACAACATTGTCCTACAAGAGTATCCGTGCAAGAGCGTTGTATATGAGTCCACCACAGGCCCCACAGGTATTATCACACCTGCTTTATTTTTGCATTAGCACCATTGTCGTCGTCGTCGTCGTCATCATCATCATCATCATCATCACCACCTTGTGTCATCTCCTACTGTGCTTTCGGGCCACCCTGTCGTCTAGTTTCGGATCTGGGATGGGTTTCCATGTGGCCCGATGTCAAGGAGAATCCACTGAGATCGTTGAAACTGAAACAAAACCCAAGGTTTGGCGTATGTCAGCGCAGCACAAAAAGCAGATTGGCTTCGCCAATCAAATTCTGCGGAGTTGAGAGCGAGCATGTCATGTTCCGTTCTTTACCTTTTCTTTCGCATGTCTGGAATTCGGGATTGAACAGGATCAGAGCAGAGCCGAGCAACACGTGTTTTTTTGTAAAGCCAGGCGACATGGTTTCTCTTCGGATTGGGTGTACAAACCGGCTTACACTGGGGGTCGGTGACAGCTTGGTGTACAGCCTTCAGAGATTAATGCACTTTTTACTAAAAGCAAGGACGCTACGAACGGGGCTCCTGGCATCGCTACTAGGAACGGGGCTTTTACGCTTGACAACTTGGTGGAGCCTTCCCCAATTCTTCGTCGGACGGTTCTTCGACGGTCGAACGGAGTCCGACGTGGTAAGGTGTCACCAGACGTGTTCCGGCCCAACCCTGAGCTTGTTAAGAGCGCCTCCAGCTCGCCCTGGCAGCCCTGGGTCGATTTAAGTTCCAAGAGTACGCGTGTGGTTTCAGGGATGAGCATGTTGCCACATGATGGATGAACAATTCCAACAGCGCACGCACCACAGCCAGCTTTGCGAAGGCAAAAACATAGAGACAGAGACGCAGAGTGAAGAGGTTTTCATGTTGCTGTAGCTAGACCGTCGGACAGTTCCATCTATGCCACGCTGTCAGAGGCTGTCACACAGTGTGCAGGGGCATACAGGAACAGTTGAATAGCCCAAGATCCAGGCTGTCACATGTTCACATGTTGCAAGTGTTTCGATTGCTGGAGGATGCCATCGTTGGAACGGATCTGTTTGCATCAACCCGTCAGCCGGTGTCCTCACCGCATGCTCCGCGTGGAGTTTGCCCGACGAATTGAATGCGCCGTTTTTAACGCATTTGAGCCTTACACGTTGGTGGCATCACGTGGGTTATGGACAATTGACGCAAGCAGAAAGCGTGGGAACAAGCAGTGTGCCACGAACAGACAGCTACGCCGCACCTAGCTATGTCGATGTCATTGTGGGAAGAGCCTGAGGAGTGATAGCAGACAGTGGTGGTTTGCAGCTTCGGACCTTCTAGTTACCCCAAAGTGGCCCAATCAAACAAGGACGCTACTAGGGGCTCCTGGCCTTACTACTAGGAGCAAGGACGCTACGTTCGCTTTGGACACATTTACGACATAACGAAGTTATGGACCCACACAGAGCTTCCTTGAAGCAACCGAGAGCGCGCCCTAGTAGCCTAGTAGCTTACCCCTTACTTGCTACTTGTAAGCTACTCGCTGCGGTCTACCACCCTCTCGAAAAAGAGCAGAGAGAAGTTAGCCAGAGAAAAGAGCGAAGTTAGCCAGGTCTCGAAGAAAGACATACTAGCGTTTTGCGCGGGGTGTCGCGCTTCAAACACGCTCGCAGTCCTACGTGCACACCTTTGCAAGGAAAAACGTATTTCTTCTTGCCAGTGAAGGCCGTTCTTCACCACTTCAGTGTTCTTGTCGTCCAATGTTTGGATAGATCTACCACCACTGATCTTGTGAGATCTTGTGAGGTAGTGCTGCAGATGTTGTTTTAAGCGCCATGCTTCGGTGTGACGAAGTGCTTCCGGCGCTCGGCTTCCATTTGGTCCTGCAGATCCACGATGAACTCATATTTGAGGGCCCTGAAGACTTGGCAGACGAGGCCTTCGAGCATTTAATTCGGATCATGGAGAACCCTTTGCCCTTCAAATTGAAGGTGCCTCTTTCTGTGTCAGCCCGTCAGGCGCAAAGTTGGAGGCAGGGACCGGGATAATTCGTGACCGCGTTTTGAAACGCGGTGCCGCGGTGCCTTTTAAATTCAGCGCAGACCAAATTCACTGCGCATGTGAAGTGTCGCGGGAAAAGATGTGCGACAGCAATGCGTGATCAAAACTGCGATGCTACCTTGCAAAGTGAACCGAAACAGTCACTTTAGCAAGTCAAACATGCGCCTGATTTTTTCTCTAAACTTGTCTTTAGTGGTGTGCATGCCTGCATGTTGGGTCCGGTGCGATGCCATGCGAATGCAGCGACAACACCTTTGTGCATGAAGGGTGTTGGGCTTGTTGGGCTCACTTGAAACCATTTGGGTGGAGAAATGCACAAGACTGAGGTGCTAAGGGTTGTCCCTATTTTCAGGGTGCTGATTTGGCGTGGGCCTTCGAGGCGTGAGAAAAGGAGAGGTAGACGCAGAGGCATGCAGAGACCCGCATAAACTTTGAGGCATGCAGCTGGAGATCATCGGACTATCGACGGGTGCAAGAGATCGAGCTTCTCTCAGTGGCAGTTCTGCAGAAGCGCATATTGTCATGCAAACGAAGCAGAAGTTGCTGAGAATCAGGTTATTCAGGCCATGCTGAACTTTTTTCATCGATCCCGCGAGATAACCTATTCGGCAACAAAAAGACTGCCAGTCCCACCCCAGTGCGCCAAGACACTTGTCGTTGCGGTGGCAACGTTGACAATGAACGACATAAATCCCGCCTGCTGCGAGGACTATGGCTTTCAAACAAGCTCAATTAATAGGAGGATTGGTATGTGTTATTCATTATACTGTTGAGTCTAGCGCAGGCTTGAGTGCACATCTATCATCGCAACTCAAGAGCTAAAACGGACAGTGGAGTTTCTGCCTGAGGATTTGTTCAACGGCTCGTGTGAAGAACACGCAAGTATAATCAGTCCATGTTGCAGTGAACACTGAGGCCCAGACCTCGGAGGGGATCGTGGGATCATCCATGCGCAGCATCCATAAGCGGCCACAGAGCCCGCCGGGGAAGGGGCCACAAAGCCAGATGGACATCAACCACTGCGCAACATGAATAACAAGGAAAGGGAAAGCGTGAAGACCTTGGATGGGGAGGACAGGGTGGTGAAGATGGAGAAGGAGTATACGCGAAGCAAATTGGAGTTTCGAAAGTTTCGATGAGACACTTGAACATGAATGGCGGAGATACCACCAGGCGCAGGATGATCAGGGTACAAGACAAAAACAGTTAACTTGTATTGGGAGATGTTGGATGAGACTTCATCGAGGTTGCTAGCCGCCCGAAACCTAGACTAAGAACAATGAGTCTTGTTTCATCAGACCGAGACTGGTATCGAGAAAAGTGTCCACTTCGTGAAAGAGGTGATAGAAACCAGCGGGACAAGAGCTTGCAGAGTCCTTGAGACAGATTGCGCAGACGGTGGTGATTTTGCAGTCCTGCTGGGAAGGCTTCAGCAACTAGGCCATGACGTGCTGATGGCCAATTGCAGGAGCTTGCGTTCGCTCAGTCAAGAAATTGCAAAGGTTAAGCGTGAGGCCACTGAGCATGCGGTGGATCAGATCACACAGGTTCCAGAGGAGGACGCGATCAAGTTGAGCGTGGGAGAGAAGAAATCTGTTTTGAGCATGGGGGCCGGGCTCGCCACTAAGTCCCGTCAATTTGCGGAAAAGAGGCGTGCGCTGGTTTGAGCATCAATGTGTGAGGTAGGGATCAATTGGGCCCAATCGTGCATAGAACGCAGTACAGGTTTCATGAAGCCGAGATTGCTTGACAGGGGCTCAAAAGAGTTCACTAAAGCGCCATGTTACCACGCAGTCACCCAAAGGATTGCCCAGCGGCAGGCTTGCCCACTGTAAGAATTCAGGCATGCATTCTACAAAGATTGGGAAGGTGCTGCGTAATTTTGAGAAGTTTTTTGTTTTGCAAGCGCTTTACTTTTCTGCGCCGTTGTTTTGTAAGCTACGGTTTGCGCTCAACGAACCCCACGGCAAAATTATTTGGTTTCTTGCGCATGTAGATGTACAAACATGTTTTGTTTTGGTGCATATTGCGAAGCGCTGGTAGCGAGAGAACATTGGAAACGGAATCAACGAGGCCCTGAAAGCAAACAAAGGCGAAACAAGTAGTTGTGAAGCAACATCATGGATTTCTAACCTGTTGTTGCCAATACCATGGTTCTCCTCTCAAGGGCGGCCGTTAGCTTCGCTGTACCAAGGGTTTGTCGCAAGGGATGGGGACCTATTTAGAAACCACGTAAAGTTTTCGAAACCTACCTCGAAGTAGACTGCGTGGCTGCAAGCAAAACCAAAGAACACCCTGCTTGTTGAATCCCAGCTCCCAGCAACAGTGGCCACGCCAAAAACGAAACCATGCGCGAAAACAAGCAAATACATACCAGATTGCGTGGCGTATTCTCTTCACGCGAAGAGCATCAAACTGTGTCAGTCTGGCTGACAAACCCATGCCGCCATGCCAGAGTATTTGTTCCTTGTATGGAGGGTCTCAAGCGTCATGCTGCGCTACTTCCAGAGAACTTGTTTAGAATTTATCATAGAGTAGACATGCGCTGGCTGCGTGGGTTTTATAATTACGCGATTTGCAACGTACCATCCCTTTCCTTGTAGTATGTACCAGCACACCTTTCTGTTTCTACAGTTCATTGTGAAGGGCACTACGCAAGCCGCGGACAATGGTCTGCGTATCCACGGAGACACATTTCACCGTCTACATGGATGCTTCACAGGAGATACAACTATGCGCCCGTTTGGAGAACATAATGGCAATAAACGCATTGGGCAACGTATCGCTAAAGCATGTAAACGAGGAATGTCGGGTCCACGGTGTTTGCAGCTTGTTTTTAATTCCAACTGAAATGGGTAGAATCAAAAAATAAGAAGGGGCAAACCAATTTTCGAGGAGAAGTTGTTTTTTAACAACTGACAAGCAGAACACCGTTCACCACATGCCTTGAATCGTGTTCACATACTGGCCACTACAAGGCTCAAGAGTTTCCAGAAAAGTCGGTGGGTGTTGCGTCCTCCCGCTATCTTACAAAACCACCGCTTTGAAAGCTTACCCCGGGAGGAGACAGGAAGTCTGGGGACGGCTTGCAAACGCTTGAATGTGAGTGAACGGAAAGGACGGACGCCGAAGCTCTACAAGCTCTATTTTTTGCAGTGAAACTGAAGGAGAAAACTAGTGAAAAGGCCAAGGTTTTGGCTAAGCAAGCAAAGCAAAATATTTAAGCAGCCGATTTCGCTGATTGAAGGGAGGAATGGCCTTGAAGCCTGGCGGCAACTTTTGAGGCAGTGGATGCCAATAGCGTTGCAATAAACTGGAGGCCTTTTTGGCACATCCGGGCGCCCGCAAGAGATACAGGTGTTGGAATCCTGGAGCAGTTGCTCGGTCTTGAGCAGGTCACAAGGATTTCACTTCTTCTGCCTGTCATGTGCTAGCATCTTCGACAGCGCAGGCAGCTCATGATGGATGACGCCACCACATATACTCAAAACCTCGTGAAAGGCTGGTGTTATTTGAGCAAGCCGCGCAATCTTACAGTTCACAGTCAGTGTACAAAGAGTGTGACGTTGGCAAGAGAGAGTGTGACGGACAACGTCATGATGACGTTGTTCCCATGGAGGCCGACAGAGTGAAAGGCAGCGACAAAGGCAAGAGCAAAGGTAAAGATGGCAAAGGAAAAGACAAAGGGGCTGCAGCGCGTGCAGTTGGCCAGCGCTCGACAGCAACAAGAAGAGCAAAGAGTGACACTCAGGTCACAACGGGCACAGTTCGACGAGTTGTACAAGGTTCAAGAGTTTGCAGGAACGTGGGCGCCGACTGTCTCTCAGCCGCTTTCAGGCAGGTGAAACAACATTGTCGATTTGATTCGGGCCATCATTTCTGGCTTTGAACAAGAACAGGCGGCTAGAACCAGGCTAAGTAAAACAGCCCAAAGTGAAGAACCAACGGGTTTGTCGGGCCAGCGCGCAGCCAGATGTGACAATCATGCCATAAAGACGCATTGCCGAGTTTTTTTGACTTCATTGTAGCGAACTTTTGCTGAAAAAGAAACCGCGCGTTGACAGGTGAAATGTGGGATATCAGTATGAGGGCGCTGATGCGCAGAAACCGCTCATTGATGAGTTTCGTGTGGGCGAGTGGTTTGCAGCGTGTAGCAGGGTGTTGAGTGGCGCTTTCGACAAGAAGAACTACAAACCGGAACTGTATATCGGGATCTATCTTAAGAAGCGCCCAGCTGCTTTGCCGGCGTCAAGTCGGCCTGGAGAAATTCGGGCCTTCAGGCTCAGATTGCTGTGTTTTTCAACATATGGTCTTGAAACTGGATCATGTGGCGCTTCAAAGGATGCTTTTTCAACACTGAAGCCAGAATCTTGTGTATCTCAAGAAACCCGTAGCTTTCCTTTTTGAATCGCTGTGGGTTGTGCTGGGAGTTTGGTGGGGGATGTTTCGGTATTTGCGACATTGGCATGAATTGAGTTTTTACAAGCTATTCAGAGTTTGGGTTGTAGCCCAGACAGCTATCCCGAAAAAGTGGGAAAGCTGTCACGTTGGCAAGGAAGTGTGAAAGGGGATGGGAAATCGTGGGAAAGAAGTGGGGCAGTGAGGCACCAACCCAAACTTGGGAAAACTATTCGAAAGATGTGGTATTGGACGATAGGATGAAGTGGGTGGACTAAAAGTAGGAAATTTGTGTTGGAAACTGCCCACGACAGGACAATGTGAATGTATAATGGTGATGGCAAGAGCCCCTGACAAACCTTCCACAGAGTCAAAAAGAGGAAACAAACTGTGAGACGCAGGGTTTATTAGGATTGTTGTTGCTTATGATGGCTTTTTGAAGGGCTGATGAAGTACCAGTTGAGTTGCAGTGTGCGCCTATATTTGCAGCTCGCAGCCACAATGAACGAGGTCCGCGCATTGGACAGTTGATTGAGCAGTCGTAAGCGCGAGAGGCGCCAAGAGAAAGGTTTACGCCCGAAAGATCATATCCAAAGCTAACAGCAATGGTGCAGAGCCAGTGGACTTGGAATGAAAAAACACGAAAGACAGAATGTGTTTGGACGAAACATGTGATATGTTCGTTTGTCATTAGAGTGGTGTGGGTGTTCGTACTTGGGCCTAGCACGTTCGACGCGTTCTTGCAGAAAGTAGAACGCTTTGCAGCGTTTCTCGTTCTAAAACTGAGGCCTACATGAATCTTGATGGAGCCTCCTCTGAGCCGTGGACTTGACCTTTGCCTCATGTACATACTGCCTCATACTGCATCCTATTCTATATCTGTGCTGCTTACAATTCTCATGTGCCTGCGCGTTTTTTTCTGAGGTCCATCTATCTCCTGATGTTGGTTGCGGCCTCAGCGGCCCTGCCAGTATAAGCCACCGTTCCGTTGACTCGGCTTTGCCTTCCGCTCCGAGCCAAGGCCTTTCCGTTGATTGTCATGGCGCACGCCACTTTGCGTGGAAGACTTACGGATGCGTGCTGCGAAGCGCACTGAAGTTTAGCCGCTCGTGCCCGAGCAAGCCGCGGGTGGACAATTCAACGGATGATATTCGAGTGTTTCGTGCATCCCAGCTGGCCGTATGACACCCAGCGTCATTGATACCGCCTATCATGCTGCTCAACAGCACCGGGCCGCATTTACGCATGTTTGGCGCGAAGCTGCGAAAACGCACGACGCCTTGCCAGTCACCGACGTATTTTCATCAAAGCAATGCTAAGCATTAACAAAAGGGTGATCGACGCCGCAAGTCGCGCCGCTGACCCACGCGCCGCATTTGCGCACGCGTGGTTGCCGTCGTCTAATGGCGCCGGGTTCTGCTTTCCACAGGAGCGTTAATTCTATCGTTGCCTGCGTTGCTGTGGCTCACGTTGTTTTTAGTGTGCAACTGTTGCTTAGGTTGACGGTGCCATGCTGCTTGTACTTCAGCGACGGTACCTTGCTGTTACCTATGTTCCTGTTGCTGTGGAACTGTTATTTGTCTTGCTACTGTTACTTACCTTTCCGTCACTGTTACCTACATTGCTGCTTATGTTAGTGCTACTGCGCCGGTCTTTCTCACATTACTGTTAGACTGTTCCTACATTGCTACTCTGCCACTTTTGCTCACAAAGCTGCTTCTGTGCAACTCTTACTGACGTTGCTACTACTGTGCCACTGTCGCTTACATTGCTGTTGCCATGTTGCGTTAAGTTACATTGCCTAAATTGCTATCACTGTGCAGCTGTACCTGACGGACGTTACTGTTGCTTACTTTTTGAATGTCCGTAGCGCAGATATTTCCACTAAACTTCCTTTGATGAATGAGGTTGGACGCCTGAGAAAGCTGTGGCTGTCGCTGGCAACAAGTCCTTGACCCTGAGAAGCAGCTTTTGGGTGGCTCTTTATGACGCCTCCATTGTGGCGCTTCCATTGCACTCTGCCTCAATATGCAGAATGCCACGTATGAATGAATGATTGAAAATTTGGACACCTTGCGTATTTGCGGTCCACACCGGACTTGATGAGGACATTCTATTTCTCAACTCACTTGGAATGGTCTTTTCTCCTCCTGGTCATAGCACCGGTTCTCGAATTCAGGAGGCCGTGTAATTTGGTGAGAATTGTTTTCGTTTTTCAGAAGCACAACAAATCAAGCACCTTCTAAGTTCTTCATTTTACTTCTTTGTTTTCACCCTCAAATCTGGTCAAATCAGGTGTATCAAAGGTGGGATTTGCTGGGAGGCTTCGGGGTGTCGTGACGACGTCGCAGGGAACACATCGTGTACAATGTTTGCTATTAGAAACAAGTGCATCGCTACTAGTAACAAGTGCCTTACTAGTAACAATGTTTGCTAGAATTAAATTAACTAATAGCTTGTAATTTAATTCCAATTCCATCGTGTACAGGCCAAGTTCACCCTGGAAGACGGCCGACTGCGCTTTCTGTCCGAATACCGAGCCATGGCGCCTTGGTGTGCGAGCGTGTGAGCGTGCTTCAGGTGGAACTTGGCACCTTGCTTTAGGAAGTAAACATCATAAAAAAGAGTTCCCCCAAACCGCTACAGCGCCTTAGGAAACCGCCAGAAACCGCTTTTTGCGCGTCTAGGCTATCTGCATTTTCGGGCGTGGTGGTCACCGCTGTCGATGTTCGGTGCGCGAGTGCAGATTGACGGCAGGACGCGCACGTTGATGTGCACGTCGCACCGGAGTCTTGATTGCGATGTCCGGTTGGCGCAGCACTTGTACGAAAGCCAGCTGACAGGCTACGCGTAAGTTAGTTTCTACGAACGAAGTGAGCTTAGGGGGGGCAGATGCGATTCTGTGGTAAAGCCACGTCAGCCTGCTGCTGTTTATATTTTGTGAGGGCAACTTTTGGCGTCACCTGCGTCATCAAGGTGATTTTTGGCAATGTAGAAGGAATTCTGGACAAGAAAGGGCAGTGTGCAGGAGATTTCGGAGGGCATATAACACCGGCTCAAAGAGGTTCGTTGCTTTGAAGAATGGTCCGAATATTGTGGCCCTATGTTACTAGTAGTAAGGCACTTGTTACTACTAGTAAGGCACTTGTTTCTACTAGCTTCTTGTTACTAGTAGTAAGGCACTTGTATCTACTAGTAAGGCACTTGTTTCTACTAGCTTCTTGTTACTAGTAGTAAGGCACTTGTTACTACTAGTAAGGCACTTGTTTCTACTAGCTTCTTGTTACTAGTAGTAAGGCACTTGTATCTACTAGTAAGGCACTTGTTTCTACTAGCTTCTTGTTACTAGTAGTAAGGCACTTGTTACTACTAGTAAGGCACTTGTTTCTACTAGCTTCTTGTTACTAGTAGTAAGGCACTTGTTACTACTAGTAAGGCACTTGTTTCTACTAGCTTCTTGTTACTAGTAGTACAGCACTTGTTACTACTAGTAAGGCTTAGAACAATTCCTGGTAGACCAAAGGGAAAGACACACCCGCGCCTCTGCGGAGCTGCAGCGTCGTGCGTAGACGGCAAGACGGCAAGCAACAACCCCCGGTAGATCGGGAAGGACAAGAGCCGTGCCACGTATCGCACATTTGGTAGAGCGACATGCCTATCTGAGGCGTTCCCGGTGTTTGGAGAGTGGGCCTTGCTTGTTTAATCTCGACGGATTAATAAACGCCCCCCCCCCGTCCCCCTTCAAGGTCAACAAGGTCAACAAGGTTTGAGGTTGGAGGTATTGGAGACCACATCCCCTTAATAAAGATGATGACGTGATGGATGATGAGATGACGACAAGATTGAGAAAACTTGGGATTGGGATGATTGGGATGTTTAGGAAAAGAAAGAGGATTACAGGATGAAAGAGATGGAAAACAAGATGGAGGCCAGAGGGTGGGCTTGTAGGGGGAGGGGTCCCTACTATTAGGGGGTGGTAGGGCCTGCCCTTTGCGAGCTTGAAAACCTTAAGATAAGAGTTTTGATAAAGGAAAATGAACGCATTTTGCTATTTTTTGTTTTTAACAGGAAAGGATGAGAAGAAAAAGCAGGATGAGCAGAAGGAGGATGATAATGAAAGACAATGATGGATGAGAATGAAGATCAATTTCACCATGGACCAAGAGATATTGAATACTAGCAAAAAAGAAAATAAACTGTATAAGTACATAGTAAACCATATTTTTATTTTTCTGGGGGCAGCTGGGATTGATTAATAGGGGGAGGTTTCTGCCCAGGAACAGTTATTGGGGGGATGCCAAGGTGGAAATCTAGGTTTTAAACTAGTTTAGTATTGGGGGGTCGAGTTGGGATTGATTAATAGGGGGTGGTTACTTAATCCTATGTCAACATTACAGTAGAATGGGGAATGATTTTGTTTTCAACTTGATTACTAAGCGGTGCGTGTTGTAAAGGGTGGTTTCTTCTCCCTCCTAGTGGTTCACGCGACCACCTTTTGGAAGGACCTAGTTCTCCAAGCATCAAGGACAGACCTTGTTTTCACGGCTGCAGCCTGGGTTTTATCAAGGGCCACGATGAACACATAGAAGGTCCTTTCAGGATTTGGTATCCTTAGGTTGCCGTGTGGCGAGCGGCATTCGAGTCAGCACGCATTTCAATATGTGTGCGTCACACCCCGTTCTGAGGGGCACCACTTTTCTGCAGGGGCGTACGACTCGTCACCCACCGCAACGAAGCTACGGTATGACGAGGGAAGGGTGGACTGATCATCCACCTGCACCTGCCTTTTCAACTGTTGAACACGCTGTCCACTCTCTCGTTTGCTGCCATGGTTGTTTTCATGATAGACCCCAAAACATTTCCCTCCGCTGCTTTCCACGATTGTACAGCTGCAGTCACGCGCAAACGATGTTTCCAACAGTTCAAGTGAGCTGACTCCATCGCCGTTCAGTTCCATCATTTTTTTCTCGTGGAATTGAATAAACTGCAAACCCTATATCTAAGTGTGTGTGTCACCTCCCGTACCTGTGGACACGATCTTTTCCACCACTACAAAAAGTATTTTTGCCGCAGAGTGTACAGCACCAATGCAGGGGGCAGTGGTCCTTTCAGCAGTCACTGCCTAACAAAGACACTGCT